ACAGCTGTATGGTCTAAAATTACTAAACTCACAAGGAAGATGAATACCATAAACACATTAGCTCAGTCTAGAACAAAGTAATTCTGTTAATTCAATAACAATTTCTTATTTAATAACAGATTCACTGTCTTTTTTAAATAAATAAGAGAGCAAATAAAGGGCCTTAAGGTCATGCTGTAGTAAATGATTAATTTACAAAAACCTCTTTTGCCTTAACTATCTTAGAGCCTGATACAGTCAAGAACATTTTTAACTGGTAGAATCTGCATTTAATAACTGATTTTGCAGAGGTAATGTAGCCCATATAACTTTGATAAGAATTAAATTTACCTGAAACGGGTTCTTTCTATTAGAAAACTATACTTTCTGGTGTAGGAAGTAGAACTTTGACATAATAATATTAAGCATGCGAAGGGTGTTTTTCTCTCAATATTTTCTAGCAGTAGTTGCTATTTCTTTAATTGCAGGCTCTTACTCTATGATTTTTTCTTTTCTTCACTTTATTTTTTTTTTTTTGTAAAACTGTATATATTTTTAATTTACTGCACTGATGCATTACTGCACCAAATACAAGAAATACCATTCCAAATTAACACAAAGAAATAAGATTTTATTAATGCTTTCCATTCAGAAAGTTATCATTTTTTCAACTTTTGCCAGTGAACTACTGTTCATTGGCATAACTAAGGCAGTATGGATAGATATTTTGCCTCTCTGACAGTCTCTGACACGTAAGAACTGATTGAGCAATACAGAAATCCAGCACTTACTAAAATTATTACCTTCCCTGCACTTCTACCGGGCAGATATCCTTTATTCTAGTGTAATTCTCTATTGCTCTTTAAGGCACGCTGAAAGAGCAGAAAAGAGTACAAAGGAGTCTAAGAAAAAGACTGGATATGGTCTTTGATATTCACAGTGAAAGAATTTTGAAAGGCAAAACATCCTTAAGAAATGCAGCAAAGGCATGATTCAACTGTTTTCACAAGCCATACTACCTCACATCAAAGGCAGTCTGGTCTTTTGAGGTTGGCGTGTCAAACTGAATTTAAAAATGGCTTTGCTGATTAGTTATCAAAGGTTTGTAATGATAGCACTGAGGTAAGTACTTCTGATCCAGCTGGTCAGATTTTTCCCAATGTCTCCTACTTTGAAATGTCTACTGCGTTTTCTAGCCATTTTATACACACACACACACACACACACATATATACACAAATGTTTAGGAATCTAGTTCCATCTTAATACAAAAAAAAAAGTGACCAAACCCTGGAAAGACAAGTTTCCAGCTCAGAGGAGGCTGAGTTTGGTCTACATTCATATCTACATACAGTGTCTGAATAAGCTGAATTATAGACCATTGGGGAATAGAAATCTCTAACATCTCCACAGGCAAATATTTCACTGTGATCAGTAGAGATAAAAGTACCCAGTACTGGATGTTTTCTTTTCCTTGTCATTCTTCCCCTCTAAACAGTGATAATTATAATAGAATGGGATGTTTTGATGGGGCACATAAGGATGTGCAATTCAGTTAACAGAATGAATGACTATTATGTCAGGGTGATTATGCTTATTCCTCAAGTTTTCTTTTTAATTGCACAATGTTGAAAGTAAAAGTCTTATAACACTATAGGTACTAAAAAAATATTAAGAGATAAGACATCTACGAGAAGTCCACAGACACCACTAATCTGGGAGAAATAGAAAAAAAATGAACTGTGTGTTTGATATTAGATGAAGTCGTACGTGAGGTAAAGTAAAATTACCAAGATAATACTGTAAAATTAACAAAGAAAAATTTGAGGAACATGAATTTGCTAAATTCAGATTCACTGGATTATCTTTCACCTCTGAATTCTGAAAGTACTTGCACGTGAAAATTGAAGACTACTTACAAGTATTATCAAGAATCATCCAGAGCACAGGTGGTACCTGGTAAATAAAGTAATAGAATTGAATATATTTAAAAGGCATAAAAGTAGCCCTTGCAATTGCAGGACTGATACCTGATGTCAGTAATGCCAGGTTTTCAGGCTTTTTGGAGAAATAAATTATACTTTCCCCTATAAAAAAATTTTACTCTAAGCTGTTACCAAGAAAGACAAAGCTGCAAAAATGGATTCATCCCAAGTGATCTAATAAAACAGAACTCTGAGCACCAAGAAGGAAGTAAGACTACTAAATATCTTTAGATATACGTACTGCAAAAATTTAGTTAGCTGTACATTATCCTGAATATTCAGCAGAGTTCTGCAGTCATTTTGGGCCTTTGTGACTATGGATTAGGAAACCTGGCTGAAGAGTGTAATTCCTGACTGAAGTGTTCAGATTCAGTCACAACCAGAGCTTTAAAATAATTACTTGATTTCCAACTTTTATTTGTTTGAAGTAGGCTTTTGTGAAATAAAATTATATTGTTAGTCTTATGAACTATTCCTTGCTGAGATATAAACACAATCAAACCCTAAAATTATACTTCCAAATCCGATTTTGGAAATGAATTTTCTGTTCTGAATAGCATAGAGCATTTTAACAAAAACTAGGTGGTCCCGATCACTGGCTGAAACTGTTATCAGTTACTTATGAACAGCATTTGCTGTCTCTTTATCAGCAACTCAGCTATATTTAGCTACATTTTATTAGCTGCCTTAATTGAAATAGAGGAATGAAAAAGTGTACTGCACTTTCAGTATGGAAATACCAGCTTATAGATTTATTTCGGTGGAAAGAGAATGGAATAGATGACAAATAACCAAAGTGACGGGTACTTAGAGTAAGGGAAGATATGATTCTTCACACTGAGGTCTGGAGAAGTGTCGGTACTTTGCATTTTTAAAAATTGTGTGTTTAGGTGTCCAAATATTTACTTAGAAATCTATTCAGAAATCTCAGGCTTGTTAACCACGGTCATAATTTTTAGGGATCAATTCACTTCTGTACATAGGATTGCCTAGTGCCATTTTAATTGCCTCAGGATAGCCTACTTGACTTCCAGTAATCATGCATGTTTCTCCTGTGTAGTCTTTGTCATATCTGCCAGCCTGCAGGGAATGTCACCATACCCTAGATGTCATAAATCATGTTTGATGACTGTCTGTGGGCAGCTGAATCAAGTCCCACCTTTGAAAATAAAGATAACATCCTTGCAGACACCTACATGTAAATACTTATATTTACATTTGTATTAGTGTAAATGGCTCACATGTTTAATTTTTTTTAGTGCTGTTCTGCAGTTCTTATTCTCTGCTGGAGAAAAAAAGTGCAGTTGTGTCTGGTAAACCAAATTATTCTTTAGGCTCAACCAAGTACCCTGATCATAACGGCAATTTAGACACTGCAGGTACCTACAGATTAACACTCACATGTAGGTTTCTTAATCTCAAATTGGATCCCGTCTGTAGGTATCTGATAATCACATAGAAAGGTAAATGTCTTAGGGCTGAATCCACAGAAATATTTGCAAAAAAGTATATTTGCTTTAACATTTCTCGTAGAGAAGTATGGATTATCCTGGCTACTCTAGTCTGAGCGAAAGTATGTCTGTCAGGCAGCATCAAACTGTTCTATGGCTTCAGTGACGTATTTAGCGGTAGTACAGTACTTCCTTACTCATCATCATCCATGCCAACAAAACATAATGCTAAATGCACATTTAAGTAGCTCTGAATTCATGGAGCGCTTAGGACAGTAAAAGCTTCCAAATGAATAATTGCTTCACACAGAGAGGTTTTGCATCCTAAATTGCTTAATGCTTGGCTTTAAAATAGCCTGTGTTTCTACTTCTTAATCTCCAGGCACTGTAGAAAAGGCAACAGACTGCAAAAGGATTCATGTAAGAAATGAATGCAGCATGGTAATAGTGGGAAAGAACAATCAGAACTGTTTCCTCCTGGGAACCATTATAAAGGGAGGAAGGAAAGAAGTTTCTTGCCTGCAGATAGTTACAAACACAAAGTATTTTTTGTTAAACCACATTTTTGCCTTTTCAAATTTGAAACATTTTCAGAAGTTTTCCATGACTTCCCTACAGAATTCAGTGTTCATAATATATTCTGGTGAAGAAAATCAGCATGCAGTGCCTGGGAGTATAATTTTCTTACTTGCTAAGTAGACATGCTAAGGTCAGTGTGGGGAAGACTTTTCTTCAATTTAACCAAAATCCTTGAAACTGAGGTAGCACTTTTTAAAAATCCATGTTTAAAACATAATGCGATATTCTTATCTGCAATGCACTGCATATTTGATCTCTACTATATTGATAGTGTAAAATTCATTCCGGACATGAGCCTCCCATTGACAGTTTTGTATGTGGAACAGGCTGAATACTAGATCAAAGACTGACTACAGTTTTCCATATGGTTTGTACTTCAGCATACAGAGTTATGAAGTACTTTTTTGGTTTGGGTTTTTTTTTTCAAGGAGGCAGAATTACAAGCTTGTGAATCTATCCATTATTAAAGAATTATAGAAGATAAAATGTTCAAATACAGGACAGCAGTTGTCAGACTAATTCCCACTATTTTGAGGAACAATAAAAACACAGAGAAACTCTAATAAATGGATTGCACATTTCTTGTTTGTCTGGATTACCAATTATAAGTTAGCACTTTCATTTCTACCTCAAAGATGATGAGCAGTTAGGCAGCAACGCTGCTTACATTATTTATAAATCTATAGAGACAAGTCTGCATGTCACTTACGGCACTCTTGACAGTATATGCTGTAATTGAAGTATGAAAATAGCCATTGCCAGAAAGAAAGTATCTTCCTTTCTATTCAGGTGGGCAAAGCATGAAGTAGTATGTGAATTTGGTAATAATATTAAAATCACCAATATTTGCTGACCATATGAAATTCATGTGATATTGAGAGATTATAGTTGTTTTCCTTTTCCTGTTTGCTTATATCAGATAAATAATCCAGTTGCTTCTTGGTTTTATTTCTACAGTTCTCAGCTCTTGTTTTATTAACATTTTTATTTGTGTGGACTTTCTTAGGTTATATTCAGTTGGAGGTCGTGACGGAAGTTCGTGTTTGAGTTCAATGGAGTATTATGATCCTCACACAAATAAATGGAATATGTGTGCTCCTATGTGCAAGAGAAGAGGAGGTGTAGGAGTGGCTACGTGTGATGGCTTTCTTTATGCAGTTGGAGGTCATGATGCTCCTGCTTCTAACCATTGTTCCCGACTGCTGGACTATGTAGAAAGGTATCCAATTATACATGCATTTTTTGAATACAAAATAATGTCCAGTAGGATCATTTTCTTAGCTGAATGATGGTAAAATTAAACAGATGTTTTTACCCCAAGAAATGCGAACTTACTATTTACTTGAAAAATTCCACAGAGGTTTCTAGAAGACAATTTCTTTGAAGGTTATTTTCTTTCCCTTTTTTTCACAGTACTATTATACATTATCATGGATACAAAAGTCCACTCTTTTCACATCTCATTTAAGAAATTTTTGTTTTTAAGGCACGATATTACACATTGTAGAGTCATAAACTAAACTTTGAAGAGATAAATATTCAGCCTTGAAATAATTTTATAACACCAAATAGTGTTTAGAAGTATTTTGTAACTCTAAAACATAGCTGAACAAAGAAGAAATATAGAACTGCTTAAGTGGTGGATATTTACAGCATATGACATTGTTTCCTTTATCAACACTGCCACTTCCCAATGTGTTGATATAAGCCTTACACACTGTATTTACAGTACCCTGAATTTTGCAAGTGGATATTCTGCAAATTCAAGAATATCTAGTAGGACAGTAGCGCACAGTTGGAGTGATTATAACATTCAATTTGAAGCTACTCTTCAAATGTTTCATGAAGGTTTGACTTTTTTTCTGTTTCTGTATGCTTTAAAATAGAATAAGGAAAAATACACTCTCTGAATATATACAGGCTGCAAAGGTTACAGTAGATGTGTTTGAGTATTGGTTTATCTTCGTGTACAAATAAAGATAGGTGCTGGGAGAGATTTATCTATTTATTTCTTTTCTGAAGGGGTTAAACTTTAATTAAATATCAATTATTGTTTCTGCTGAATCTGGCTTGGATTTTACCAGTTACTCAATATGTAATCAAAAAATTATAAGTTAACATTTACTCCTTATGTTATCCATATGATTTTTCTCAGTCTTAGACTCATTCCCATCCCTACTGTATGTAAGCAAAGATCACAAACTGCCAAATACTTTGCTTCTCGTCTCCAGCAGATGGGAAGTTCATAAGAGAAATCCCATCATGCCTGTACTTACAGGGCCTATCCTCATGGGCTTCTATTTAAAAGGAACAAAACCCAGAATTTTCAGTGAAGTAAATTTATATTAAGACTACTAGTGATGACATTAATAAGTATAAAATCTTTGCAAATACTTCTGCTTATTGGTATTCGTAAGGGAGCTTTTCTTTCATTTTTTGGTCTCAGAGAGGAAAACCCTTCTTGTGTTGAAGACAAACCACATCCCATCATATTTGTCTTTCTCAGGGGGGTTATAACAATGAACTAAACCACATACCCTTAAGCTATTTTATGTACTGGTATCTGGATGACATTATACAGTGTTCCTCTTCTAGGTATTTTTGCACTGATAGCAAAAAATGTGGATAATGTACTTCATGGGCAGTTAGCTTCCAGGCTAAAAGTTGGGAGTAACAAATCAGAACTTGTAAGGCTATTAGCTTGCATAGACTGGATGTAAATTAACCAGTAGACTCCACTAAAACATGAAAAGACTCTCATGGCCCTCCCTGTGATTGATAAGTTTATACGGTGACTGGGATGTGATTTAACGTGTCTATTTTTGCATTCAAAAAAAACACATCATCTTCAAAAAAATAAAACCATCTCAATAACTTAGGAAACCAATGACCAGAAAGTGATAATGAGGTCTTTTATAGTAAGTAGTTGGGCATCAGTCTTTTTTAACCAAGTCTCTTTTCTTCTTCAGGAATGAGTCTGTTTCAGTCATTCTGTCATTCTGATACAGCCTGATAGGATGTGCTTTATTCAAACACCAATTTTCTCCTGAAGACTGTCAAACCAAGCATAATGTTTTAAAATTTATTTTTGAGATTATGTAAATCTAGTGAGAGCAGATTTGTGGTTTTTAAACGCTACTGCTAAAATCTTGTTCAATAGTAATTAGGAGTCCCAGTTTGAACTCTTCTAAGGTTGATGCGATCATAAAGGATTTCCTACGTATTCAAGCATTCTAAAAGAAAATAATAGTTATGTTTGTCTGCTCTCACAAGCTGGGAAACTGCAATTTTGTATTATTTTTTAAAGGTGAAATAAATAGTTTCTTTTTAAGAATTATAAAATTTTTGATTTAATTTGGCAGATTTTATAAAGTAGGTTTCTTTTCAAAATGTTACACCAAATTGGACAGTTATTAAAAACATAAGCAAGTGATCTACAGTTTTTCCCCTTCATCTCACCTTGATCTCAAATTGATTTCTTTCCAGATTCAGGAACTTTTATCATAACCCTTCTCACCCTAGGGCATACCTAGTTATTATAAAGATTAAATGTACAGTTGTTTTTAGCAGAAGAAAGGATATAAGAAATCTCAGACATTTTCCTGGCAATTACAAAAAACAAGTTCTTGTGAAGTTCTATTTTGTTGACAGAATTGAGTTATAAAAACTCTGTTTAGCCCTTGCTTACCTGTTTATTAAAAAAAAACACAACAAAAAAAACAGTCCAAGATGTCAATTGTATCTAAATCCCCTGCTTTTGCAGCTCTTTACCTTGGCCCTTGTAATTCAAAAGTAGTGTATCAAAGAGTCTGTTAAAATTTATTGCCTTTAGTCAGGTGAAGATACAATGCACGCTGGTTCATTTCACTGGTTGTGAAACTCTTTCAGCTAGAGGCATATGGTGCTGTTGCTGAAAAAGTCACACAGTCTTTGAAAAAATCCATTCAAAATTAAATCTTTTGGGCTTGTTACATGTATGTTTCCCTTCCACATATTCAAGCATTTTTTTAAAAGTATTTTCCTCTCAAGTTTTAAAAGACATTTATCATATAACTAGATATTTAACTCAACATTTAAGGAAAGATGGCAAAGTGAAAGAATGTGAATTAATAAAATAAATTAAATGAAGAAAAGAAGTTAAAATGAACAACATGATCAATTTAATGGTATTTTAGGCACAAAAAGCTGAACACAAAATTTTACCTTTTTTTTTTTTTTTCTGAGAAGTCCCAATAAATCCAGAAGGATTAGCTGCCAATAGATAAGTAGAATTTTTTTCCTAAAATGTATTTAGCTGCCAAGAACAATTTAATCAACATTAAAGGCAATTCTGTGCAATTTGAAGGTCATATTTATGAACTGAAAGGTAGTTACAAGCAAAGCACTGTAATATCATTGCTGCAATATCTATATTTAAAAGATCCATTGTTCAAATATAATGTGGGACTTATAACAGTATTCCTACTAGTTGTTTATTGAAAATGTGATGACTGAAATTGTTACAAGTGCTCTTATAATTAGCCTTTGTAGTAAAAGCCTAGAATCTTCCTTTTTGTAAAGCATATGTGTACACAACTTTCTGTAGGATTATTAACTTCCAGTTAATAAACTTTAAACTACAAGAAAATATGTTGAAAGAACTTGACCCCCCCAAAAAAATGAACTTATAGCTGATAGCATCTCTTAAAGATGTAGGAGAAAGTGGTTTGATGCCTAATTTTATATAAGAATATAGAAGTCAGAGGACTTATAAATAAATACGATTTTTAGCCATTATACAATTTCTTTATAATTATTTTAGAGAAATTATCATTCCTGAAGTTTGATCTACCTTACACTTCAGCAAATGACTTAAGTCAAAGGATTTGTATCCTTAATCTGTTTATTTTTTCCACTGATTATCAAGTGATTCTACTGCATAGTAGAGATACTTAAGGACAGATGAAACTAATTTTATTGTACTGTAATACAGTATTCTATTTTAGTAATATTTGTCATCTAAAAACAAGGTATCTAGTTTAACCAGATACTCCAGACCTCCTTAGTAACAAACTGAGAGGCACTATCAAAAGGTGAATTTTTCTATTTTAAAGATGTCCAAAATAGTTACAATGGAATAACTTCTGAAATTAACTAATTTTTACATTGTTAATGAATATCTAAATGCATGGCTTAGGCTAAATGTTTAATTTTTAAATGACTATCATTATACAAAAGAAATTTTGTCCTCAGTTTTAAAAATTCTATGGTGATTAATGCATTAAAAACAGTACTGCTGTCTTCACTTGAGCAAATATCAGGAGAAGATTCTAACTTTAATGCAGTTAAACATATCCCCTGAATTCTTCAAGAGGTTTTCTGGCTGTGAACATTGTATAGTATAATTTTAGAAATTAAAATATAACGTAATATAATTTTAGAAAGAATACTTTTGATATGCTAGAAGAAATATCCAATTTAAAATATATACATAAAAACATACATACATCCAGATATTGCTCTTATATCTTTCTCAAATTTGTTTATCATACCTTACCCCACAAATACCCTAGTTTATTCCACAAGGTTAGCTGAGCAAAAGTTCCTAATCAACATATAGAGGTTTGTATTAGGAACGTAATAAATCTGTATATTTTCTTTTTGCTGTTAGGAATAATATTTTGGATATATGCTAAAGGATTTTTTTTTTTTTCTAGAAAGAAGTGTTTCAAGTGAAGATCAGCATGAATGGACACTTGTCTCCCTGGACATTCAGTTTCCTTTCTCTTTCCTCAGGTATGACCCAAAAACCGATACATGGACAATGGTGGCTCCACTAAGTATGCCTCGAGATGCTGTTGGTGTCTGTCTCCTTGGTGACAAATTATATGCAGTAGGTGGCTATGATGGCCAAACATACCTGAACACTATGGAAGCATATGACCCTCAAACTAATGAATGGACACAGGTAATCATAAAGTCCTGATTCCTTTTTTGTCTGTAACATGCTTCAATAGTTGTACATAAAAGCATTATTTTTCTGAAAAAATGTATAGTATATTAGCTAGTATAGCTAGTTGAAGATGTTCCTGCTCATTGCAGGGAGGTTGGACTAGATGACCTTTAAAGGTCCCTTCCAATCCAAACTATTCTAGGATTCTACGAGTCTATGATTCTATGAAATACTGGTATAATGCAAGAAGCTGGGGACTGGTGATTGGGTTGTTGAAGAAATGTATTTTATTACGCCACAGTAGTGCTTGGAAAGGTTTGGATTCATAGCAAAGCCTTAAAAAGAAACGAAAAAAAATATTTCAACACTTTCTGAAAAAGTCATGTGTTCCACCAGTGTAGATGTTTACATCTAAATTAGTCACCCTAAATTCCTTTTAAGGTTAGTGAAGAAAGGAAAGCATGCTTGGAAAGCATGACCTTATCCTAAAATAAGAATTTAAAATAGACCAGATGTATAATATCCCAAAATGTCTATTTCTTTTTATGATTATAAAGGGGGGCTTCTGTTCTCAAGCTTAAATGTAGATATACAAGGTGCAGAATCCCATCTTTTTTATCTACTGTTAATTAAATGATGAGAGCATTTTTATGACATTCTGTAGGAAATAAAAAAAAAATAAAATATTGAAAGATTCTTTTCTCAAATCCACCAGTCCCCATAAATGGATGAATAACTGCACTTGGACAGATAGTTAGGAAACATATAACACCTCTACTTTAATATGTACAGTACCATTAATTAGTGTATTATCATTACTATTATTACATACCAAAAAACCTGACTGTACTGTGTTAGTTTCAACAAGATCCAGTCTCCTAAACTTATTAATCCTCGTTTTGTATTGAGTAGTGTCTAAAGCTGCCTAACTTATTCTAAAGGACACTTGAACCTGTTTAGGAATACTGGAACCATAGAATTTTGGTATTAGTAGCCTTGGTCGTGCCTCAGGGACATCAGCTACAGTCTACAGATTAGAGAAACCCGTTGCATATCAACAGTTCACGAAATTGATGACAGCTTTAAAATCACTTCTTTTTTCTGTTCTCACACTTTCAAGTGAAAGAGGTCAAATGTGAGTAAGTAACTTTAAAACTGCAACACTAGGATATTATGGGTTGTATTTATTTTTAGCGTTTTGTACTCCCAATAGTTTTGACCATTTTAGAATAATGTTGACACAGCACTTTGGCAATCGCTTGCATGGCTGGTTCCTGTTTGGTTAATTTGTATCCTTTTTTCTGCAGATGGCTTCCCTAAATATTGGAAGAGCGGGTGCCTGTGTTGTAGTCATCAAACAACCATGACTTTGTCAGCACTGCTTAGGATTTTATTGACTGTGAAATGATTATTTTTCTATCAGACAACAAGAATGATAATTTCATCAGAACAAGGATTTACACAGTGAATACTCGATCACGAACTTGAAGAAGTTTGGAAGAGAGAAAGATTAAGTATTTATGCCCTATAATATCATAAAAACTGTTCACACTCAGTGAACAAGAAAAAAAATCAGGCTATTGTAGGCATAGATAAGTGGACGTGGAGTAGTAAGATCAGGTACTGTTATCATGAATGTGTCCTGGAGATCTGGATAATCAAGGGACCGCTCTACACAAGGAGCAGGAGATACGAAAACAGTTGTCGTGGCCACAAGAATTTTAACTGCAGAAACATCAAAGTACAATTAATCACTTTAAACTGTGGGGTTTTTTTTTAAGAGAAAAGTAGATAGTAATATATTTTTCTTCTGTTCAGGTCGTGTCTTCAAATGGGTTATGGCCTTATTTAAACAGGCAGTTTGGTTATTACTTATTGGAATATTATTGGAAGAGGTAGAAAAGTTTGGATATTCAAGTTCCATTCATAATGACTGAGCTGTTGGTCTACAGCAGGAAGAAAAACAAAACTAAAAGCAAACCTCCAAAATTACTTTTTTTTGTAACTTCAGATTGTACCTCCTTGCCAGTGTTAACGCATCTTATAAGTGAGTCTATTGAAGGGGAAGCCTGTGTATTTAATCTGATTATACACAAAGCAATCCTTTGGCTGCACTGGGGCTTTATTGCAAATGTGGGAGTCAAAAGAACAGTTTTCTAATTCTCTCTTAATCTTATATTCAATTTAAGCATGTAGTCTCTCATCTCATTATTTAATGCAACTTCTGCATGTTGGAAGCTCATGAAAAGCTGGAAGATTGATACTGTTCCTTCACTGCATCATGTAACAGATGAACCATGACCAGAACAGTCTATAGAGCCTCTTCTAACATTTGAAGACAGATAAAAATACTACATTTTATTTCTTTCTGATGCTTGTACATATACAACTTTGCCTAATTAGAGCTGCCAATTTATGACTTTCCACTTATGACTGAGAACTGCAAGTAGGGAATTCAGAATAAATACAAGTGGAATAAGGAAAAATAGGCCGTTTGATTTAAAAGAAGTTCGTATGGTAAATATACTAGTGTCATCTGTGCTTCCCTTTAGGATTGATCATTTTTGGCAGTAATGATACTTTGAGCTTTTGCCTTGGCAATAGGTTTGATGTTGATGTTTTCCATCTGCTCAGCTGAATCAGTTAGAATCCTAAGGACACTGACAGAATATGAAATTCTGCTATTCAGGGAGGCACAGGCTCTGGGAACAGGACTCCCAAGTATACCTCTTCCTTAAAGCCTTGCTGGTCCTTGAGGAAACATTTCATGGTCCAAAAGCAGAAACTTGACAGTCCTCTATCACTAGCAATTTTGGAAAGGAATTCCGGTTGCAGTTAAAAGAGTTTCCCTAGTAGAAACCTTTGAAACCATTTGAGATGAAAAAATATGTACAGCCTCCTACCTGGGACATATGATTTGAAGATGTGTCTTTCCTTCTAACAGCATCAGCATGCATTGTTTCCTGACAGAAACAACTTCAGTTTTGAAGCCTAAAGTTTAAATCTTTTTATAAGCTTTTCTGTCCTAATTAGAAATCAGCTGCAAAATCTTTACTATTAGTTTTCCACAGTTAGTTGGCTTTTGAACTGCAATTAGTCTTTCTTCCACAGACAAGCGTGTCCATTTTTTTGCCAACTATAACAACTTGTTGAATAAAAGATGTTATTCCTCTACAAATTTTGCTTCACATAAACATAAGCTTCTGAGACCAAACTGAGAAAATTCTGGAATTATAATTTCAATTAAATATACACATTAACATTCAGTTTTCCTATGCAGATACCTACTGAACTTATAAAATTAATTTTAATTCTATTCCCAGTACTTCCTTTTGATTACATTGTATTCATACACAATAGAAATGTGATTACACTACCTATATAATGACCTTCAAAAAGGGATTGCTTCTGTTAATTGTAATCCATGACAGATTTGTTCTCTGTGCCTTGATCATTTTTATCCTGTTTATCCTCAATTTTATTTTTTAGTCTCAATTTCCTTTACACATTTTAAATTATCTTTATTTATCCAAAATGAAACATTATTCTTATGTGAATTTTTTCAGACTACTCCACTGCTTTTATGTGGAAAAAATAAAGTTATTAATTTGCTTTATTTAGATTATGTGAAATCTAGCCACAATAAGAGCCAAATTTGGAGTTCAGATTGTTTCTATACACCTACACCAATATGTTCCGGAGTTTCTTCTAAACAGAATTTAGGAAGAATTTTTTTATTAAATTTTAAGTTTTTCTTATCATTATGTTTACTCTGGTCTATTAAAAACAATAATAGTTTTACTTTTGACTTCAAAGGGAATAGATTTAAATCAAAATGATATATAAACTAATCTTGGTTTCTTTCCATTAAGAGCTCTTTTTATGTATAAGAGTTAAAATCGCTAAGTTGTGCTGAACAATATTACATTTACGGCAAAAGCGGCTGTTTTTTCAAAAAACAGATTATCTCATCATGGTTAATCTAACATGATACCTTTTCTGTCAAAGAATCCCTTTGATTTCATATGAAAATCACATGGAATCAGATCTGCAACAAATATTCATTTCAGTGAAATAAATAATTAAGTTCCTCAAAAAGTTGCTTGTAAATTTTGTAGGTTTTCTGTGTGTTCTAAAATGTTAGCATTTTCTCTGTCTTTCCAATTCTTTTTTATTCATTGTGGCATGCTTTTTTTTTTTCACGATGTCAACCAGTTTTACAAGAAAGTCTGTTTCACATTAGCCTATTTTTATATATGTGAGTTATACCCTTGTTTCCCTATTGTTGCCCATCCTTATATATGAACATCTTTTGTATTAATCAAGCTTAAGTAGAAGTGATTAATATTACGGTCCTCTGGGGTAACTAAAATTAAGGTCCTCTGGGACTACTGAGAAGCCTTACATTTCTCTGTTTTATGTGTCAAAAAGTCATTTTCTTTGTTTTTATTGTTTATTGGAGATTTTATTAATTTCCTTCTTGCTGCTACTGGTTTTGAGATAGGAGGAAGGTCAAGGACATGAGTGCTAGAAAAGCTGTTTTTAAATGGATGAGTTTATACATATTTTTATAGGAAGATAGAGAAAATAATACTGGCAGAAAGTGGTCATTCTTGTGCCTGAGGATTTGTATTCAAAAGCTTAGATGGACACAAAGAAATCAAGTCTATGTTCTTTCTTCAGTTTCCCTACCCAACTCATTTGAAATCCATTGAGAAATTATAGATCAGTGGCAGCCAATTGTGATGCAGAGTTTTCCTTTCGCTTTTTCCTTTCATTGATTATTTCTCTAGTGAGGATAAAACATTTGCTGCTCAAAAAAATTATTAAAAAAAAGGATGATAGTTATCTTTGAAGTGCTTATAGAAGCAATACCTAAAAGATGAAATAAATAGGTTCCCCAGAAGAGGGAATAAACTCATCAGTGTTATAGCAGTGGCAGTGTTGTTAATATTTATTAATACAATTATTAAAGAAATCATAAAAGAAATTATATTTTTGCAGGGGTTTGATTGGTTAAGTAAACAAATCAAGAAAAATACCATAACGTTATGTCTCTGTTTTTCAAATGAATTAGTCTTCTAATTTAATTCCTCTCAAATGCTAAATAATTAAACTCCAAGAATATAATTTTCTAGACAACATTAGAGGCTTTATAAATATAGAATAATTGAGTTTAACTCAATAGAAAAACTGATCAAGCAAAATAGGTAAATCTTTTCCTATGGCTCTGAGGGTCCCATTTTTAATTTGTTTCTACTGATATAGTAGTATTAAAAAATCCATTTTGCAAAAGAAAGAATAATCTTGTGATCCTCTATTGTTTATGTAACTGTTGATTACCTTGCAGTTTTGGACCTTTACTTTAAGTTATTTTTTACATTTACAGTTTTTATTATTGACAGTGGGGGATGCTAGAAATATAATTAGTATTAATAAAGATCTACATAGGAAAATGTCATTGAATAGTCATTATTTAGTAAATCCCCAACGTTATTCCAAATTTGTGCATTGAAATCAAAACTACATATAAGGCAATAAAAAGATCTGAAGGTAAGAATATTGTAACTTTGGCTTTAATTATCTGTTCAATACATATTTGGGTATGTGTTTTAGAACAGACTTTTATTCATATGAAACCGGTCAAATTATTAAGGCATTTAAGGATGTTTTCAGGGTGTAGCCTGTCTCATAATGTTACTCTCTTGAACTAAAATTAATTGACATAAGGGAACTATTTTGGCACAGAGAAAGGATGATCTCCTCCGGTATCACTCTGTTCTACAGAAAACTGCCATCAATTCACCATTATTTAAAAAGCAGTTATGTTAAAATGTATCTAGAAAGCTCCATATATTATTCATTGTTTTATACGTTTAGAAGGCCCAAATAAATATTTGTCAATGACTTAAACTCTTTTCAATGACTTCAATAAAAATAACTCACAGATGAGTTTGAAGTTATGCAAGTTTTAATGGCTCAGACCTCCATGTCCATGACACCAGAAACACTGTGCATTGTGATTATGAATGAAATACAGGTTTTCCACAACAGAGTTCATACTCCAGATGTCTTTCCTTATTACTGTGCTCACAATGGATTGGGCATAACAAGATGTATCCTGTTATCCATCACTTTGCATTAGTTATTTGATTAGGAATAAATAGAGAAGGCATTTCTGCAAAGGTTTTAAAAAAGCTTTGTAACTGTTATCAAATAGCAGGAATAAATTACATGAATAATTCTGTAATATTGTGGGAAACAGAAATTTAACTATGTGCATGGAATTTGATGGTACAAAACCAAGTACAAAACTATTTACTTCTATAAAATTCGCTGCCCTGAACAGGACATGGTGCACTTTTTT